TTTATTTATTTGAGAGGCAGAGCTATAGAGAGAGGCAGAGGCAGAAAGAAAGGTCTTCCATCTGCTGGTTCACTCCCCAAATGGCTGGAGCTGGAGCTGGGCCAGTCCAAAGCCAGGAGCCAGTATCTTCTTCCAGGTCTCCCACATGGGTGCAGGTGCCCAAGCGCTTGGGCCACCTTCCACCACTTTCCCAGGCCATTAGCAGAGAGCTGGATCAGAAGTGGAGCAGCCGGGTCTCAAACTGGCGCTCATAGGGGATGCTGGCACCACAGGTGGAGGCTTAGCCCACTATACCACAGTGTCAGCCCCTGAAGTACCCTTGTATAAAAGAAGAGCTAGCTCTGCCACTGCCTAGGGAACAGTCCCCAAGTACCACAGGAACACAGAAACTTGAGAAAGCTTTAAGGATGACAACATCATTCTCTCTAGCACATAATGTAAGACTTCATATGTGTGTAAAAGCTAGTTTCTGGTAAAGTCCTAGCTATGTAAAGACAAGGGCAAGAGGAGGGCAGGGTTTCTCAGAGTTTCTCTTTCTTCTCCCCTCCCTCCTCCCACCCCAAGAAAAGACCCAAAGGAATGAAATCTTTCCTCCCCTCACACTTAGTCTCTAACCATCATTATACTAATTAGGAAATGCAAGACTGCTGGGTGTCTTGTCTAAGGTCATATTATATTCTGAAAGGCCTACCTTATTTATCATACACATTGCATATTTTATTACCTAGTTATAGCCTGAGGAAATCTTGAAGAGTTCCTCTCATGGATACACTCAGTGATTACTTTCATTTCTTAGAGAATAAACGCTATTTCTTACTTTCTCCCCACATTTTTCCACTAAAATACATGGATTTGTTACTAGATTTTGTGAAGTAGGTTCAGATGAGGCAGCATGGCATAGCAGCTCTGAATTTAAGCTATAGAAGCCACTGTCTGGAAACCAATTCTAACAGCACCACCAATCTAGCTATGGCCTTACACAAGTTACCCAAGGTTAACACAAGTCAAGCCTGTCTCCTCATCTATAAGCTGGAAATAATCGACTTAATTACCTCCTATGACTGTTGTGAGAATTAAATGAAGCATTTTTTGTATGGGTCTGACATTGTGCTCGATATATGTTATCTGGGGCCGGCGCTGTGGCATGGCAGGTAATGCCACTGCTTGAAGTGTCAGCATCCTATTTGGGCACCGGTTCAAGTCCCAGCTGCTCCACTTCCCATCCAGCTCTCTGAAATGGCCTCAGAAAGTAGAAGATGGCCTAGGTCCTTGGGCCCCTGTACCCACGTGGGAGACCTGGAAGAAGCTCCTGGCTCCTGGCTTAAGATCAGCCCAGCTTCAGCCACTGCAGGCATTTAGGAAGTGAACAACAGATGAAAATCACTCTCTCTCTCTCTCTCTCCCTCCCTGCCTCTGCCTCTGCCTCTCTGTAACTCTTTCAAGTAAGTAAATGAATCTTTAAAAAATGTTATCTATTATTATTATCAAGATTATTATCATTATTAAGATATACTTCAAATGCTTTTTAGGAAGAAAGAAATGTTAGCTCTGGGGCCAGCACTGTGGCGCAGCAGGTTAATCCTCCGTCTGCAGCACCGGCATCCCATATGGGCGCCAGTTCTAGTCCCGGCTGCTCCTCTTCCAATCCAGCTCTCTGCTATGGCCTGCGATAGCAGTAGAAGACAGCCCAAGTCCTTGGGCCCCTGCACCCATGTGGGAGACCCGGAAGAAGCTCCTGGCTCCTGGCTTTGGATCTGCACAGCTCCAGCCATTGTGCCCATTTGGGGACTGAACCAATGGAAAGAAGACCTTCCTCTCTGTCTTTCCCTCTCACTGTCTATAACTCTACCTCTCAAATAAATAAATAAAATCTTAAAAAAATTAAAAAAAGAAAAAGAAATGTTAGCTCTAAAAGATTTTGAAAAAATACAGTACATAAAATGATCATAGATTAAACTATCTTTTCTACAAAGTTTTGTTGTTAATATTCAAGAGACTTGAACAACACGGGAATATTTAACACCCTCGTTTCTAGAATTCCTAACCCAAGGTGATTTTTGTTACTACAACAAAATACCTGAGAAAAGCCAACTTTGAAGGAAAGAGGTTTATTTTGGCTCATGGTCTCTACCACCCATTTGGGAATTCCAGATAAAGTTTTGAACTTCTGGCTTCAGCCCAACCAACTTCTGGCTGCTGTGGACATGTTGCACATAAACCAGCATATGGACTACCCCCCATTGTTAGTCTATGTCACTCTGCCTTTAAATTAAAATGAGAATGTATACATATATATAAAATTTTAAAAATAAAAAGGAATTTTCACTGATACTCAATGAAATATTAATCTTCCTCTGAAACTAAATAATAATCTGTGCACTTAAACAATCAAAGGTTTATAATAAATGGTGCCCAACTGGAAAAATGTTGGAACCAAACTTCAAACATTTTCGAAGCAGAAATATCAAAAGCTCAAAAATTTAATGGAAGATGACAAATCCATTAAAGTAAAAAAGAACTCACAGGGGAATATTTAAAAATATCAGAATTGGAAATCCTCTCTCTGAACTGCAGCAAATCAAAGAATAAAATAAAAGATGATTATACTTGACTATATTAAAAAATTAGCTTGACACTCTGATATCTAACCTATGTAGCCATCATACCATAAGAATCTGATATCTGAATAATATTTGAATAGATGAAACTTTCCAAAGTTAAGTTCCCTGGTCCTGAGAATATTATGTAGATAGTCTATTTTTCTAAGATTTTAGAGCCATTTATAAAGAAATATCTTTATTAGGAAAGGGTAATTCTAAGCAAGCACTTCCACATACATCAATGAACTGAGTTACCACAGTCATGATAACAGGAGCTAAAAATAAAAGAAAGCTCCACAATTTTTCCTCGGTTTTCTGGCTCTATTCCTTTTTTTAATTGTAAAGATTTATTCAGTTATTTGAAAGTCCAATAAACAGAGAGACAGAGAAAGATCCTCTATCTACTGGTTTACTTCCCAGTTGGCCCCAATAGCCAATCCCTGGCCAAACCAAAGTCATGAGCCAGGAACTTCATTTGTGTCTTCCTCATGGGTGGCAGGAGCCCAAACACTTAGGTTATCTTCTGCTGCTTTTCCTAGGCACTAGCAGGACGTGGAGTTGAAGTGGAGCAGCCAGGACACAAACTGGCACATGTATGGGATGCTTTTGTCACAAATGGCAGCTTTACCTGCTATGACACAAAGCCAGATCCATCTGACTCTATTTCTTTTTTTCATCTTTTTTTTTATTTAATAAATATAAATTTCCAAAGTACAGCTACAGCTTATGGATTACAATGACTTCCCGCCCCCCCCCCATAACTTCCCTCCCACCTGCAACCCTCCCATCTCCCGCTCCCTCTCCCATTCCATTCACATCACGCCTTGGCAACTCATGACAAGAACCTAGGGAGATTACTGACGCCATAAACAAGAGTGTCAATTTGTTAAGTCATCTGACTCAATTTCTAAGGCCCTTCTATCAAATTGCTTTTATTTCTGTAATATAAATGCATAAATGCAAGTTAAGAAATATCTCAAAACACTAATAAGAGCGAAATTTTAATATTTATTCATTTTTATGTGAGAGTGAAATGGATAGAGAGAGGGAGGGAGAGGGAGAGAGAGGGAAAGAGAGGGAGAGAGGGAGAGGCATGCAGAGTCACAGAGGGGTATCTTCCAATCACTAGTTTACTTAATTTTCCACAACAGCCAAGGCTGAGTCAGGCTGAAGTCAGAAGCCTAGAACTCAATCCAAGTTTACCATGCGGGTAACAGGGACCCAACCACATAAGCCATTATCTGCTTTGTCCCATAGTGTGCAGTAGAGGGAAGACAGAATGAGGAGTGGAGCAGTGACTTGAACCCAGGCTCTCCAAATGATCTGCAGGCATCCCAACCAGCATCTTAACTACTATGCCAAACTGCCACATGAAAGGAAAATTCAGAGAGTGCTTCTTAGAAAAGCATTCTGAGTTCAATTACGATTACAGCCCTTGTCTCTACTACTGAGGAACAGTATTTTTTTTCTCTATACTATTTGTTGTACTCTTCACTTAATGTAGGATTAATCTCATAAGTATAAAGTGAGCTGAAAGTAGATCACTATAAAAATTGAGAGGGAACAGGAAAGGAAGGAAGAGAAAGGGAGGGAACAGGGGCAGGAGGGAGGGCAAGGTGGGAAGTATCACTGTGCTCCTAAATCTGTATACATTAAATGCCTGAAATTCGTCTTAGATAAAAATTTTTTAAAAGAAAAGGAAATCAAGAGATTATTTGCTGCTTACCTCCTTGTAATATTTTAAAAAGTAATAAGCATGCAATATGAGAAAGTACACTGAACTATTATTACAGAAAATACCTCTGTATGAATTATCACAATGTATACAGTATGGTACATCATTGTCTCCCAAGTTTCTTGTACTGAAACAGGAAAGTTCTTGCAGTACATTTTACTCTCAAAAGTGAGAAAAATAACGTGCAAAATATTTCATTTTTCTTCCTTGCCTACCAGTAGAACTCACAAACTAACCTCTCCAGGAATAGATCCAGGGAAGGAAACACATTCAAGGAGAGAATTCACTATCCAAAGCTAGAATATCCATTGTTACTTTCAAAGGTCTTGAGATTCTGAAAAAGATCATCCATTTTTATGGGGAATATTAAAGCTTCTCCTCTGAATGAGGCGGCTGTGAATGCGACTACTTGAGAGTCACAAAGGGAGTGGAATGAACATTACATGTTGTGAATGCCACTATCAGAGAGTCACAGACAAGCGCAGTTGAATTCACATGACATTACCAAACTGGCTGAAAATGTCACCAACACCACTATTTGTACAAAATACATATATATTTGGATTAAAAGTGTCCTACATGTTCCATGATGCAAGCGGTTGTATAGATCTATACACATATGAAAACATACACATGCATATTTGACAACAAATAAAGAAAAATACCTCATAATTCTCTTCCTTTGGTGCAATGTCTTCCTCCTTTTTTGGCAAAGGTGAATCAGTTGCATTTCATCTTGTAGTTTTCTTGCATTCTCTTGGCTTGAGAGAGAACTCTGGGGATTGTTTTGCTGTTCTCTCACCTAAAGACATATTTCCTAAGTTGGTCATCTCTTGGCTTTCAGGAAAAATAGTTTAACGGCTTATTTAAGAGTGACAATTTTTTAAAAATTCTGTTAAGAGGAAGCAACCCACCAAAGCACCAGGACCTGGATCTTACAGGAAATACTTAAATTTTAATTTCATGGAGCCAGTGCGGTGGCACAGTAGGTTAATCCTCCACCTGCAACACTGGCATCCCATATGGGTTTCAGTTCTAGTCCCAGCTGCTCCACTTCCCATCCAGCTCTTTGCTGTGGCCTGGGAAAGCAGTAGAAGATGGCCCAAGTCCTTGGGTCCTTGCAACCACGTGGGAGACCTGGATGAAGCTCCTGGCTCCTGGCTTTGGACTGGCATAACTCTGGCTGTTGCAGCCATTTGGGGAGTGAACCAATGGAAGGAAGACCTCTCTCTCTGTCTCTCCCTCTCACTGTTTGTAACTCTACCTCTCAAATTAATAAATAAATAAAATCTTTTAAAAAATTAACAAAAAATTTCATGAATCACAGCTAAATTCATCAAATAGCAAAAACAGTTCTCAAATTCAGGCAGAGATGAAACTGTAAAATAAAGTTTCTTCACAAAACATTTAAATAATTTCATTATAATTTCACAGCTATTTAGCCTGAATTTTAATATAAACATGGCTAAATCAGCTTTACGTGAATGATTGAACTCAATTCACCTTTCATTGCTTTATATAGAAAACATGCACTGAGTACCAGTAGGTGCCAAGCACTACAATGAGTAATTTTAGAAAACATATCATAATTTATTTTTAAAATAAATTTTAGATTGCTAACATATATATGTTATATATAGTGTGTGTGTGTATATATATATATATATATATATATGAAGGCAACATAAAACTTAGTAATGATTAAATTTAGAAATGTAAATTTTTAGCAACAATTAATTTACCTGATTCAAATCATTTTTCAAAGTCCTCAATCCTGTTTTTATTGTGCTAACCGTCAGTTCAAGATGTTTGTTCATCTCTACTTCTCTGCAATATTGCTGCTTGATTCTCCTTAACTGTTCCCTAGTTTTTTCATAACACATCAGCATTTATTCTGTTTTCTTATTATTTTTTACCCTTATTTTTTATTTTAACTTTTATTTAATAAATATAAATTTCCAAAGTACAGCTTTTGGATTACAGTCCCCCCCCATAACTTCGCACCCGCAACCCTCTCCCGCTCCCTCTCCCATTCCATTCACATCAAGATTCTTTTTTTTTTTTTTTTTTTTTGACAGGCAGAGTGGACAGTGAGAGAGAAAGACAAGGAGAAAGGTCTTCCTTTACCGTTGGTTCACCCTCCAATGGCTGCTGCAGCTGGCGTGCAGCAGCCAGCGCACCATGCTGATTGATCCAAAGCCAGGAGCCAGGGGCTTCCTCCTGGTCTTCCATGCGGGTTCAGGGCCCAAGCACTTGGGCCATCCTCCACTGCACTCCCGGGCCACAGCAGAGAGCTGGACTGGAAGAGGGGCAATCAAGACAGGATCCGGTGCCCCTACCAGGACTAGAACCCGGTGTGCCGGCGCCGCAGGCAGAGGATTAGCCTAGTGAGCCACGGTGCCAGCCAAGATTCATTTTCAATTATCTTTATATACAGAAGATCAATTTAGTGTATATTAAGTACAGATTTCAACAGTTTGCACCCACACAGAAACACAAAGTGTAACGTACTGTTTGAGTATTAGTTATAGCATTAATTCACATTGTACAACACATTAAGGACATGGATTCCCACATGGGGAGTAAGTGCACAGTGACTCCTGTTATTGACTTATCTGTTCTCTTATTCTTAAGGTAAAAATCCTTATCTTAGTATTCCTTTTGTTAGAAAAGAAAAGGTTCATTTTGTAATTTGGCTCCTAGTATGAAGCTTATATATTCTAATACATTTTTATATCATCAAATATTTTTCTTTGTAATTATTATGTTTCTTATGTCTCACTTCAATCTCTTCTTCAAAAGACAGATATGCTTGAAAGAACACTTTGATAACTGGTAAATTTGTTATCAGTAACTCTGATAAATATTATACAAAAGCAATTTTGAAATTATCCAGTAAAATTAAAAGTTAAAAATTGCCTTTTCTTTGCATAGTCCTAATTACCATCAATTAGGAAAGACAGTTAACTAATCATTAATAAGTTATGATTTAGAAACATACATGTAATTATTAGAAATACAATAGACGTTGTTTTTTCTATGCATGAAAAGATTTTGAAAAACTAATCAGTAATCATGTCCCCTCTTATTTTCACTCCATATACGTTAAGAATAAACCAACAGGAGTCAAAAACCATTCTAGGTTGGGAAAAATAGATATCACATGTTCTAGTGGAATTATAAATTAATATTAATTTTGAGAGCCATTTAGAAACATTAGTCAGATGTTTTAAAAGCTTCTTAGAATGTAACCCAATAATTATATATTGAAGCATTTTTTTCCATGTAAAATACTTGGACATGTAAAGAAACATTTTGCTTGCATATGACCCCCAAATCACAGGCAATAAAACCAAAACTAGAAAAATGGGATTATATCAAACTCAGAAGCTTCTGTACATCAACTGGAAGAAAAAAGAGAGTGAAGAGACATCCAAAACAATGGGGAAATATTTGTAAGCTACCTATCCAGGATATAAAAAAAAATTTCAATAATAGGAAAACAATCAATCCAGCAAAGAAATGGGCAAAAGAAGGACCTCACCAGAAAGTTCTCAAAAGAAACAAAAATGGCAAACAAATATGAGAAACACTGTTCAAAATTATCAGGCATCAGGGAAATGCAAATCAAAACCACAGTGACATTATTACTTCACCACTGATAGAACAGTTATTTTCCACAAGACAAAGAGTAACAAATGCTGGTGAGGATATAGAGAAAGGGGAACTCTTATACACTGTGAATGCAAATTAGTGCAAAAACTGTAAAATTGGCAATATCATAAAAACCTAGAAATAGATTTTCCATATGACCTAGCAATCCCACCACTGGGCATATACCCAAGACATGAACACATTGTATCAAAGAAATACCTGTACCAACATTATTTAGGGCAGCACTGTTCACAAAAGGTAAGATATGGAACCAACCAAGATATCTGTCATCAGAAAAATAGATGAAGAAAATGTAATACACACACACAATGGATTACTATTCAGATAGAAAAATAATGAAATTCTATCTTTGCATCAAAATGGTTACAACTGGAGGACATCATGTTGAGAGAAATAAACCAACACCAAAAGATAAATACTGCATGTTCTCCCTTTTATGTGGGAGCTAAAATTAAAAAAAAAAAAAACAAGAAAGAAATTCTTGCTGTACCAGTTTCAATGCAAATATAATGCCTTGTCAAAAAATATAAAAAGAAATATTTACACAATAGATGTTTGTTGCAGCATTTTTATAATACTAAAAAATTAAAATAATCCAACATTCAAATTTATAAAAATCAAATTTCCATAGGATGCACTACCATACCACCATTAAAATTATAATTTGCAAGAATATAATTAATTATTAGAAGTATTAACATTAAAGAACTTTCCATATGATTTAAAAGGATTTCATATTTCACAAGAGAAAGTTTTGTGCCCATAAATTCCAAGAAAGTAGGCAAACAATTCAAAATGTCCCTGCATTTTTGCTGTATAAAGTCTCTCTCTTTATGTCTCTCAAATAAAAAAATTAAAAAGATTTTATATCTAAACTACTTATTTCTTTAATTTTTTTATTTTATAGATAACATTTCACATATATTATGTTCCAAGACTTAATGGCCCCACTAAATAAAAAATTCAACAATTAAAAAGTAAAACTAGGACTGGCGCTGTGGTGCAGTGCCCATCCCATAGAGGTGCCAGTTCTAATCCCGGCTGCTCCACTTCCAATCCAGCTCCCTGCTAATGTGCCTGGGAAAGCAGTGGAAGATGGCCCAAGTCCTCGGACCCCTGCACCAGTATGGGAGACCTGAAAAGGCTCCTGGCTCCTGGCTTCAGATCGGCTCAGCTCTGGCTGTTGCAGCCATTTGAGGAGTAAACCAGTAGATGGAAGACCTCTTTCTGTCTCTGCCTCTCTCTATGACTCTGCCTTTGAAATGTCAGTAAAGTGAAGAGGCAACCAACAGAATGGGAGACGTTATTCGCAAACTACACAACAGACAAAGGATTAACAACTAGAATCTATAAAATGATCAAAAAACACCACAAAATCAAAACAAACAACCCAATAAAAAAATGGGCCAAGGACCTTAACAGACATTTTTCAAAAGAGGAAATCCAAATGGCCAACAGACACATGAAAAAATGCTCAGGATCCCTAGCCATCAGGGAAATGCAGATCAAAACCACAATGAGGTTTCACCTCACTCCGGTTAGATTGGCTTACATACAGAAATCAACCAACAACAGATGCTGGTGAGGATGTGGGGGAAAAGGGACACTAATCCACTGTTGGTGGAAATGCAAACTGGTAAAGCCACTATGGAAGACAGTTTGGAGAGTCCTCAGAAACCTGAATATAGCACTACCACAGGACCCTGCCATCCCACTCCTTGAAATTTACCCAAATGGAATTAAAGGGGAGAAAAAAAAAAGAGCCATTTGCACATCAATATTTGTTGCAGCTCAATTCACAATAGCTAAGACATGGAATCAACCTAAATGTCCATCAACGGATGACTGGAAAAAGAAACTATGGGATATATACCCTATGGAACACTATACAGCAGTAAAAAACAATGAAATCCGGGCATTTACAACAAAATGGAGGAAGCTGGAAAACATCATGCTGAGTGAAATAAGCCAGTCCAAAAGGGACAAATATCATATGTTCTCCCTGATCAATGGCAACTAAATGAGCTTCTAAAATGATACCCATTGAAGTGAAATGGACACTATGAGAGACAATGACATGATCAGCCCTTGTCTAGACTGTTGAGGAACAACTTACTATTTTATTCCTTTTACTATTTATATTGTTGTTGTTGTTGCTGCTCTGTTTGTTCTACATAAGACCACTGGTTGAACTCTGTAATCAATGCACAATCATTCTTAGGCGTTTAGAATTAACAGAAAAGTGATCTCTGTTAAACATAGGAGTGGGAATAAGAGAGGGAGGAGATATACAGGTTGGCACATGCTCACTCGGACTTACCTCCAATGGTGGAACTAGAAATGTGCCAGGGGATTTCAACTCAATCTTACCAAGGAGGCAGGTACCAACGCCAATGCACTTGGTAAAGTGATAAGTATAAATATACAACCGATCAAAAAGATAGGGTATGGTGTCGATGAGATTTTACAAATAAGACCAGTGTAAGCAACTAATGAAGGATAGAATTAAAAGGGAGAGAATGATCCCGCGGGGGAAACAGGACACAAAGCAGACTCAGAATGGCAGCACTCCTGCCTCAGAATCAACCCTTGGGACATTTGGATCTGGCTAAAAGGTCCATGAAGAGTCTCACAGGCATGGAAAGCCATGACATGGTGGCAAAAAACAATCTAAATGAAAGATCCTGGTGAACAAGACCCCAGCAGAAGGAACAGGCCATCAAGGAGAGAGGCGCCTTTCTCTGAAGGGAGGAAGGAACCTCCACTGTGATACGGCCTTGACTAAACAAGTTCAGAGTCGGTGAACTCAAGGGGCTTCCATAGCCTAGACAGCTCATAGCAAGAGTCTCGGGTGATTGCTGACGTCATAAATAAAGAGTGCCAGTTGTTAAATCAACAATGGGAGTCACTGGGTACATGCTCCCCACGTAGGATCTCTGTCCTTAATGTGTTCTACTATGAAACTTAAAAACAACACTACCAGTCGAACAATACCCTATACCTTGTGCGGCTGTGTGAGTGCAGCCTGTTGAAATCCTTGCTTAGTATATACAAAGTTCATCTTCAGTATATGAAGGTAATTGAAAATGAAACGTGATGAAGGGCGGGATGGGAGAGGGAGTGGAAGAGGGGAGGGCCACGGGAGGGAGGTTGGGGGAGGGGAAGCCACAACAATACAAAAGTTGCACTTTGTAAATTCACATTTATTAAATAAATAAAAAAAAACTATATAACAAACAAAAAAAAGAACTTAATACTTTACTCTTTTAGTATTTTTTATGTTCTACTTAAAACTATTGGTTGAACTCTGTAATTAATACACAATTACTCTTAGGTGTTTAATTAATGCTATAACTAGTACTCAAATAGTATTTTACACTTTGTGTTTCTGTGTGGGTGCAAACTCTTGAAATCTTTACTTAATATATGCTAAATTGATCTTCTATATATAAAGATAATTGAAAATTAATCTTGATGTGAATGGAAGGGGAGAGGGAGTGGGAGAGGGGAGCGTTGTGGGTGGGAGGGAAGTTATGGGGGGGAAGCTATTGTAATCCATAAGCTGTACTTTGGAAATTTATGTTCATAAAATAAAATAAAATAAATCTCGGCCTCCAAACCAGTGAGCTAAATAAACATCCTTTATTTATAAAGTCAAAAAAATAATAAAACCTTAACTGATTCCTTTTTTCCACTTTTTAACATTTTTTATGAAGGAAACCTTGAAAATTATTAGAATGATAGAATACAGCAGTATAGTACTTGGCACATTACTGAGATAGTAGCTACAGGATGAAAACGTAAGGAACTAATTCCTTATAGGCATTCACTAAGGGGAGAAAGAGGAGGGGAACCATCCTCTTTGCAGCGGTTAGCCAAACAGTTAAGAGGCTAAGAAGAGGCCTATGTAGGTCCAATAAGAGAGTGCCTGGGTTTAATTCTGGGTTTCATCCTGGGATTCCAGCTTCCTACAAACATGGTTCCAGTGAGACAGCTGATGCTGACTCCAGTAGTTATCTCACAGCTGCCCACTTGGGAGACTTGAACTGTGTTTCAGGGCCTTGGTTCCCAGCTTCAGCCTGGTCATGTTCCAGGAGCTGTAGGAATACTGGGATTGATCCATCTATGGGATCTGTTCTTGTTTGAACTGGCACATGCCTGTTTCTCTTCTTTCTCTTTTGAATAGTTTTTGAGAGAAGAACCACCAATTCCTTCTCTGTTTTAACATCAACTAGTGCTTATTTTAAAAAATCACACACACACACACACACACACACACACACACACACACAAATAAATAAACATAAGAGACCATACCTGCTGGTGGCCATGGTCTCTCTGGAGCCGATGAGGCTGTCTGCCCCGCTGATGGGAGGGGTGGTGTGTTGCTGGAGATGCCACCATACACGGCTATGGGAGCACTGAGAAGGTGGACATGGCTGGGAGGCCACTATTGACCTCAGCTCCATGCGGTTAGTAGTCCATATGCTCCTAGTACATGCTACCAAATGCACTGTGGCCTCAAAACCCATCACCACTGCCCATCCAGAGGGGCAGTCGGATGAGCTCCCGCCCAGCATGGGCCTGAAACCATCCTGGTCTGAGGGGCTCTAGAGCTCCAAGGAAGGGTGCAGGCTGGCCAGTAGAAGGCTGCAGAGCAGGTGCTACAGGGAGCTTGCCAGATGGGTAGACACAGGCATCCCTGCCTTAGTCGTCACCTAAGCTGCCATGGGGGTGGGAGGGTACAATGAGGAAGGAAGAACAAGTAGAATCTTCTGGACATTCTTGGGCTGTAGGCCCAGTGGCCACCTGAGGCTTTGCCCCAAGGGTTGCCGGGTTAGGAGGCATTGTACTGGGTGCTGCCCTTGATGTCTGAGAAGGACAATGGCCCGTGGCTGTGGAGGGCCAGCTCGCCAGTCAAGGAACCTGACCTGAGTCAAGCCGCCAAAAGCTGTGTCTCTCCAGAAGGTGGGGTACCCACCCCACTGGCCTCCCTTGCCTCCAAGTCCAGGTCCCAGGTCCCAGGAATGTGAACCAAGAAAGGCTGCCGTGGGACTCACTGAAATGGGTCCTTCACTGTAGCTCTGGCCGGGGTCAAAGGAGGAGGTGTTCTGGTTGCCAGCGTCCCAGGAGCCTGAGCCGGCCAGTCCTCCGGACCTGTTCCTCTGAACTATGCGCTGGCCAAGGAGACAGGCCAGCCCTTTCCACTGGCCACGGGCAGCAGGAACATCATGCTGAAGTCCAGGAGGTCACTGAGCTCCTTGTCCAAGCCCACGGGTGCTATTATCTGGGGGTGTTTCATTCTCCAGTGGTTGCAGCCAGTGCAGGGACCAGGGCAGGCTCCTTAGACCTGCAGGGCATTGTTGGGCTCCCAGCTCCCAGAGTGCAGCGGCATGTAGCAGGGCCTCCCAGGACAAAGTGGCATGGCAGCCAAGCCCCCAAGAGTCACACGTGGGCAGCAGGGCCTGGGCCTTTTCCCCCATGCGGCCAGCTGGGGTGCTGTGCCAGTGGTGCCCAGCACCTTGCATCAGGTCCATCCAGCTCCAACCTGCTAAGCCCGCGGCCACTGACACTGCTTCAGATTCCAGGTGTGGGAGCAGCCCCAAGCCACCTACCCAGGCCAGTCTAGCCTGTGCTTCTATGTCAAAACGTAAATAACAAAACCTGTCCCCAATACAATGCCACACAATACTTCTCAGGTTTTCTACAGGAGTTAATATCCAGACTATACAATTATCTCAAAAAACCCAGGGCTAAAAAAAAAAAAAAAAACAAAACACAACAACAACAAAACAACAATTTTTAAACTAGGCTGAAGGACTTAACATACTCATCTCAAAAGAAGACATGCACATGTCCAATAGTTACATGAAAAAATTCTCCACATCATTAATCAACAGAAAAATGCAAGTTAAAACCAGAATAAGATTATCATCTCACTCCAGGTAGAATGACTATCATGAAGAAAACAAAAAATAACAAAGGGTGACATGGATTTCAAGACAGGTGAAATTTTTAGTATTTTGTGGGAAGGCAAATTAGCACAACCATTATGGAAAATAGTATGGGAGTCTCTCTAACAAAACAGAACTGAGCAAAATCCCGCAATTCCATTACTGGGTATATGTCCAAAAGATATGACATCAGTGTGTCAAAAGGATATCTCCTTTCCATGTTTATGGCAGTGCTACTCACAATAGCTAAAATATGGAAACGGCCTATGACTGTGATTCAGCAACTGAATGTACAAAGAATGATATATCCACAAAAGACATCAAGCAGTGAAATGCCACCTAGAACATAATTAAATAATTGTGAAGAGTGAAGAGCATCAATACCTCCAGATGGCCGCTCCTAAATGATTACATATGACAACTTCCTTTTCAAGAACTAGCCCTCTTAACCTGACTGCCATCCTGTTTCCTCAAGAAAATTTTACGTATATTTAGAAGTAGAATAAATTAGGTAAGTTTGCCTCCACTTTCATATGCAAATGTAATTTTAACTAAATTTTTTAAAAATTTTAGTTAGCATTATCATTGTCTTAATGCTAACATTGAGTAAAATAGGAATAAATATGGCTTACATTCAAAAAATCATTTACTGTGTGATAGAAGCACCAAAACCATTTGTAAATTCAGTCTGCATAAGCTGGAAAGAAGCAATAATGCAGGAGGGCTGTAATAGATTCCTCACGCCTTCATTTAATAATAGATTCCTAACATCTCATCATCAACCCCTTCTTTGATGGAAATGCAAGTAGGAAAAAAAGTTAAATTGGAAATTCTGGGGCCAGCGATGTGGCATAGTTGGTAGGGCCACCACCTGCAGTGCTGGCATCCCATATGGGTGCTGGTTTGAGTCCTGGTTGCCTCACTTCAATCCAGCTCTCTGCTATGGACTGGGAAAGCAGAAGAGGATGGTCCAAGTCCTTGGGCCCCTACACCAACCTGAAAGACCTGAGGGAAGCTCCTGGCTCCAGATAGATGCAGTTCCAGCTGTTGTGGCCATTTGGAGAGTGAACCAGCAAATGGAAAACTTCTCTTTCTTTGCCTCTGCCTCTCTGTAACGCTGCCTTTCAAATAAATAAATTAACAAATATTAAAAACAAAGCCTGAAATTCTTATTCTCCATGATATTCATAGGCTTTTTGCCTTACAAAGCCTACTGTTTGGGTTATCCTACTAGGCATATGTGTGTTGTCTCCCTGAAATTGAGTATAAGCCAACCTACTTGAGGATTAAGGCCAACTCTCAGCAGACCATACCTTCCATTTTCTAAACTACATACAAATTTCAACATTAAAGTAATTTAAAATATACAATGGCTACCTTTAATTCAAGCAAGCTAACAGTATATACATTATGTACCTCTCAATGCATACTAACCTCTATGTCTATGGTTTCAAAGTTATCACAATAGCTTAAATATAATTTTATGACATCAGGGCCATAGCAAAAAAATCTCAAGATGTTTTAATAATTTAAGTAAATATTTATCTTTGCCCTTAATATGCTTTCTTTCAAATGCTTCTACAACAGGTAAACCTTTAAAAGGGACTCTATGCCAATGGTTTTCATTCTATTTCAAATTGTATCCACAGGGTAAAACTCTAAATGAGATATATTTTCTATCCCAGCAGCAGAGTCTGTAACTGTTCTGCATAAACTAAGTGAACTAAATGTTTGCCAGTAGTGATTGGAAATCTGTGACAGATATCATTGCAGACCAGACAAACCAGAACGAACAAGAATGGTACGGCAAAACTCTTGGTAGTTTGTCAAGACAACCTAAAATCAATGCTACAAATGAGGAAAATGAGGCATAGTGGGTCTATGTTACTTAGCTGCAGTAGGAAGAGGCTTCATGACTGTCACCCAAGGTTTACTGCACTTTTTGAGAAAGAAAGAAGTAGTTTCAAAATCAGAGCCATTAATCTATGTTTTCTCCAAGTGAAATACCATGTTGATATTTTAGAACCTAACGTTATTTAGTTACACAATTCTGACATCAAACACCATGAGGTTTTATTTGAATTTAATGCATGAATGCATTCCTTAATGGATTCATTTAAGCACATATTCAGGGCTATCATGTCACTACCTTTAGCAGGCAAGAGAGATTCAAAGATAAATCTGACATGTGGTCCTTGCCCAAAATGCTTACTTTGCAGTACACTGAAAAAGTGTGGAGGCAAATTCAATGCTCTCTGTTAACCGATGCTCTTAAAAATTGTGTTTTTAATTAAGAGTGCTATTTTAAATCTCATGCATGATGTAGCTCACCAACATCCATTCTTAGTTTCATTACTTAGAAGTATGTAGTCTAAACAGGTCTGTTTGTCCTCAGTTTTTAAAAAAATGATCCATATCTCCTCCCATACTTCCTTAAAAAAAAAAAAAAACTTCTCCAAAGGCTTGTTGATATTCACTATATACAGCAGTATCCCGTAAACAAGTCCTGAATGCAGCTTGTGCAGAATAAACAATCCATGGGGGAGCAAACACATCTGACTTCTCCTCAGAAACCACACAAGGAAAAACTGAGGAGAAAACTATTTTAAGCATGGAGAGAAAAAACTACCAAACTGAAATTTAGTATCCTGAAACTTGTCTTTCTAAAGTGAAGAAGAAATAAATGTTTGGCAGGCAAAAATTATACATTTTGTTGCCAGAAGACTATCTTGCAAGAAATGTGAACAGTTTTCTGGAGAGGAAGAAAATCATATAGGTCAGAAACTTGGATCTACATAAAAAGGAAGAACATGAGAGAAAAAAAGAAAAATCACAGTAAAATATAAATTTTATTTTTCTTATTTTTAATTTACTAATGGGATTGCTGAAAGTAATGATAGCAACATATTAGATCATATATGATTTTAAGCTATATTTATGCAATACATACACAAAAATGGCATACATAATATTCATATATATTCATATTTACATATTACATGTGTATATATTTTTCTATCACTGCAAGGAAAATATGCATGAGGGTTGAAGGAATGGGAGGAGATGGGGAATATTTTGTTATTATGAGGCACTCACAGTATCCAGGAAGCAGAATATTTGAAAACAGACTGAGATTAGCTGTAAATGCATGTTGCAAACTCAAGGGCAACTACTAAACAAACAACAGTGAAAATGTTACAAAATGGAGCAGGCATATAGTCCAGTGGTTGGGAAACAAGCATCCTGAATACCTGAGTTTAATCCTTGCCTGCAGCTCCTGAATCCGATCTCTCTTTTTTAAAAAATGATTTCTTTGGAAAGAGGGGTGGGGGGGAGAGGGAGAGGGAGAGGGAGAGGGAGAGGGAGAGGGAGAGGGAGAGGGAGAGGGAGACGGACATTCCATTGCTGGTTCTTCCATCTGCTGGTGAGGTTGAGGCTGAGGCTGGGCTGCAGAGTCTAAAGGAAAGTATGTCTAATGAGGTGGAACAGATAGATGTAAAGAGAGGGCAATATGGAGGCCAGGACGGAAGCCTACAAGGTGGTTGAGTCTGGTGTAGTGCACAGCAGGAAAGGTGAGGCCATGAAAGAAGAGTTGGCAGGTGAGGCACAAGAGGAGGACTCAAAGGAGGGTAAGGCTGCAGTGGAGAAACAGGACAATGAGACTGGTGTGGAGGACTAGGAGGGATGTGAGGCTATCATGGAAGTCCAAAGGAAAGGCTTGTGTTGAGAACCACAGTGAAGGCTAGGCTTAGGTGGATGGCTACAGGGAGGGTAGCAACTAAATAGAAGACCAGAGAGAAAGCGATCCTTAGGTGGGGGAATCACCACAAGGGTTATCCCAGGGTTGAGCCACAAAAGGAAGGTGAGGACAGTGTCAAGGAATAGAAATGCGAGGCTGGTATAGAGAAATGAGGAGGGTGAGGGTGGCATTGATGATGAGGAGGGAGAGGGTGGCACTGAGGATGAGAAGGAAGTTGGAAGTCACAGTGGCATACAAGCAGTGCAAAGCCAGGATGGAGGCCCACAAGGAAGATGAAGCTGGTGTAGAGTACCACAGGAAAGGTGAAGTTATGGCAGATTTGGTGGATGAAACCCATATGGAGGGCTAGAAGAGCGAGGCTATAGTGGACCAACAGAAGGAGAGTAAGGCTGGAGTGGCATGGAGGGTTGGGGGGAGGTGAGGCTGGTACTGAGGACCAGAGGGAGGGTGAGGCTGGTGTGCAGGGCCAGGAGAGTGAGGGTTGGCTGGAGGGTCAGAAGGAAAGTGATTCTAGTATGGTAGCCAGAAGGAAGCTGAACCCAGTGTGAATTACAAAGAGTGGGAGGCCAGGATGCAGGCCCCACAAAGAGATTGAGGCTGCTGTAGAGTACCACAGACAGGTTGAGGATATGGTAGAAAACTGTAAGGATGAAACGGATGTGGAAGTCTAGAGGAAGGGTGCAGTTGTAGCGGGGAAACAAGGGAAATACAACGGAGGTGGAAGATGAGGATAAGGTGTGGTTGTTTGTGTGGGCCAGAGGTAGAGTGAGGCTGGCCTTCACAAGAGGGTGAGGCTGGTGTGCAGGACCAACCGGGATGATGAGGCTGGTATGGAGGAGGGAGGAAAGTGAGTCCAATGTTGTTGGCGGGCCAGAAGGAATGGGAGGATATATAGAGAGGACGGAGTGGGAGGCAAGTATGTAGGCCCTCAATTAGGTTGAAGCTAACATAGAGTAGGAGGGATGGTGGCGCAATGGTGGAAGACTGGGTGGATGAGGGTCCAGTAGATGACTAGAATGTAAAGCTGCAATGGAGAAAACAGGAGAATGACGGCACACCAGATTACAACATTTTTAATGACATATGAGAGTAAGTGATGCAGTTGGGAGCCAAACTCTGGTTTGAAATCCAAATTCCATGCATTACCAAGCACCACTTTTGATTCAATTTCCTGCTAATGCACACACAAGGCGGCAGTAGATGTTGACTCAGTCATCGGGTTCCCTTCCACCAACGTGGGAGGCTTAGATTGAGTTCCCGGCTCCTAGTTTTGGCCTGACCCAGCCCCAGCAGTTGCAGGCAGTCGAGCAGTGGAGCAGCAGGAAAGGAACTCTGTTGGGATTACCTTACCAAGCAGGTCTGACCAAAGTGATTTTCCCAAAAGATCTCCATTGTTTTAGAAATGGACCTGATAGGAGCTGGCACTATGGCTTGGTGGGTTAAGCCGCATCCCACAATGCCAGCATCCCCTATGAGCACAGGTTCGAGTCCCAATGCTCCACTTCATTCCAGCTCCCTGCTAATCTGCCTGTGAAAGCAGCTGATGAGGGCCTAAGTGCCTGGGTCCGTGCACCACTTTGGGAGACCTGAATGCAGTTCCAGGCTTCTGCCTTTGGCCTAACCCTTTCCACTGTGGCCATTTGGGGAGTGAAATAGCAGATGGAAGATCTCCATGTCAACTCTGCCTTTCAAACAAGAAAGTCTTTAATCAAATGGACCTACAAGACCTTGGGTTCCCTGGGACCAAAAGTTTTACGATAGGCCAGTTTCAGTATTTCCCGATACCGATCAGCAAGTAAGTGGTATGTATGTTGAGGAAGTATTTAATTCTATTTAATGACCTCCTTCCTGAGTTTTTCATTAACAAAGATTTATATTATATCCTTCTAATAATACAAATAGATAGTTTTGTGCCAGCAGCAACTTAGATGTTGCCAGATCAGTACTTACAAATCCTTGAGCCTCTTGCATTCACTTATGTGAATTTAGCTGGTATTTGCTTTAATTTCTTTGATTGCTTCTTATTTGGGTGGAGTACGATCTTACTCTGAAGCAGAACAGATGATAATTATGTAAAACATAAAGTTATAAAGGTTGTCTAGCAGTTGAATAATTAATTTACAAGCATGAAAAGGCAGTGAAATACAGTAAATGACTGAAAACCAAAGCAGATTTTACAAAAACATCTAACATATGTTATCAAGTTTGGATCCTTGCATGCTATCTACTCCTACAAAAACATTAACTATTCTGTTTTTAAAAACAAAGTATGAAACATCTGATATACACAGAGTCAATTCTTTATCTCAACTTCAAAACAAATTCTCAGATTTCCCAAATCTGTATCACTTCCATAGGCCTTTAACTCACCACTGGGATTGTTGTCACTTCCCAGAGTTCATGACTGACATGAATAATAAGCTCCATGACATGAAATTTGGGAAATCAGAAGCTGTCCTTCGCAATTGTTTCCATAATGAAACAAGGTTTGGTTGCCCCACTGAAGGATCTTAAAGAGACCAACACTCTTTTCAGGCTCCTGATTCCATGCACGTCTCCACGAATGGACAATGACAATATAACACTTGGAATGACTCCAGCATTACGTCTTTGTCTAGAAATTTGAATAACAAGTTTTATAAAATACTGATTCTAAATGCTGTGTAGTCTCACAAGTACTTTTCACATCAGCAACACTGAAATGACTGTGAATCTTCCTTTCAAAGCCTGCACTAAGACCCTGCAGTTAGATTTTTCTACCACTTCTTTGAGTAAGTTCCCACATGTGAATAGAGACAACTGTATCATAGTACTTTGGTTGTATTCTATCAAAAGACTGTAATGCTCTTAATTCCACCTTGGGAATACTACACACAAAGCATCCGTGGTGGCCTGTGTGTACACAATTATCATTTAGATTCCTACCACTCCTCATGAATCTGGCCACTACAATGACTCTGGTCTGCTCATCCTCCTTGATGGTAACTCTCTTTAAAGGCAAAAAATGTGGGTCAACATGGATACTGGGTGGAACATACGTATGGGGAGTTGGGAATAAGAACATTCACTGAGAAAGACTGAAAACAACTATAACATTTAAAAGAATGAGGCAAGAGGAACAGAAGTCACATCCTTGGTCTGAAAAATATTCATGACCAGGCGCAGAAAAGTCTATGTACATCTCCTATAATATCCCCAGCACAACTTAAACATTTTGGAACTCTAACTTCTTCAAAACTGTAAAACAACAGTATCTATCTCCTTTCTATTGTTAAGAATGACTGGTACTTGAATGCTCTTACGATTTTTTAAAACCCTTCATGTTTCCCTCAAAATATGCCAAGCAGAAGGTGGAATACTGATGGTTATGTGAACAGACGATTTACTGGTAGTATTAGAAAATGAAAACAGTCCTTTGATTTTTATTTCGGTGAGCCTCCTCTGGCACTTCGTTATTAGAGAAGAATGTAGAGGTAATAAGAAAAAAAAAAAAAAAAACAGAGTAACACTCAACAATCAGAATGCCTTGCTGTCTAAGATCAAGTTAAATGAAGAAAAGGCAGATATATTACTACCTGAAATAAACTTAGTACAAACAGAATTGATGCTTCAGCATAAGATTAGGAAATGGTCCCCAAAACAAGCTCCAAATTCTTCACTTTCACATATCCAGAATCTAACCAATGGAACCTGGCTTCATAAGAACAACAGGTACAGGTTCTAACTTTGAAAGCCTTTACATAGTTTGGCTTCCAGGAAACCGGCATTGATTCAGAAAACCCATTCAACATTGCATCAGATGGCTAACAGGATGAATCTGGAGTGATAGCAGAATTCATTGCAAAGAAGTATAATTTTCTTCAGGCTCACTGATGAATACACTTCTAGCATTAAAGAACAGAGATCTAAACATCAGGAGGGATTGATCTGTAATAAATTTATCTAATAGTAAACTTCAAGTAAATCAGTGATGGGATGATTTTGTAGCATTTTTGCACCATAATTCATGCAGCCAAGGCCAAAGACAAGAAGGATCATCTCCCTACATTCTAAAACTTCAACCAACCAATCACTAGTTCATTCCACTTTTAAAGAGCCAATTAGTGGCCAAAGTGACTAGAAATACAATATTCCAAATACAATTAATTAGTTTGATTATATCAGCTTCCATGTTCCTTTTATAAAGAGTCTTAAAATTTCCCACCAAAACATGCCTAATGGCAGAAGAACTAATGATGCAATTTGAATGGGCTTATTCACTATTATGGGTAAGAAATTATACCTGAAATGGCCAAAATGTGTCAAAGATAACTGGTGTATGGGTGAAGTCAGGACTTGCCCAGGGCAATCTAACCAGACACACCGTTCTTAATCCTAATTACCATTCAGTACTATGTGCTCCATATTTTCCATGGCATTCTGTTCAGGTCACTTTGTCTATAACATCATGAGTTTATTATCCTGTGAGTAGATGAATTCTTTCCTTCATGGAACATGCATAAATGATCTTAAGGCTTCTAAGGCAGCAAGACACCTGGGCCTCTCCTAACACTGGCTCTATGGGGATCCAGCTATGGTGTAAGAAATCACACCTACTGCCCATGTTGTGAGGAAGCGAAAGTGAGCCAAGTAGAGACACCACCTGGAGGAAGATATGGTTACCTTCTCCCAACTGTCAACAGCCTCGTGATGAAGGAACCGTCAGCCCAGCAACCACCAGACTATACACACAAGGACTCCAAGTAAGAACCTCCCAGCCTTCCCCCAAATAGTGGCAAATTAATAAGTACCATTTAAACCACAATGTTTGGGATGACTTGTTACACGGGAAGAAAATCCGAACAAATTTCTTTCTGCACCTAGGACTGCACTGTTTTCAATATAGAACCATCTAATTAACTGTGTTTAACGCTAGGCCTGGGGCTAATTCTGTGTTTCAATGAAGCTAACAGATGTTTATGAGCACATACTATGTGCTAGGCACTTCTAACACCCTGTTGAACAAAACAAAATGTTCTGCCTTCTCAGAGAGCTTATGTTCCAATAAAGATTAAAACAATTAGAAATACAAGAGTACTTCATGAAGTTTTTGTAAAATGACATTTACATATTTACTTTGGTGCATTTTTTTCACATTTTGAAACATACTGCATGCTTCTGGTTTCATTCCTGAGCAATTCACCTTTTTGATAATCAGTTTTGGAATACGACTTGAGCTTAAATTAAGTCTCTTTTTTAAACTGACTCTCTTGGGAGTTGATGTATTTGCTGTTGGTGATGACGTTTTGATTCAAACTTATATCTTGACTCTCTTGGTTGTTCCCAATCAGGTCATCATTTGGGACAACTTGAAGGTGCGATTTTTTTTTAAATCCATGCATGTGAACTTCAGAAAGCTCATGGAAAATCCCCTCACGAAAAACCCTTGCCAACAGACAACATGGAAGTGTTATTCTGTAACAGATGGGGATACTTGCCGTCTGCTAATTCTACTTTCTTGGAGGATAAATTATGGGCCTGAGAAACAATCTTCTGATCCCTTAGCTCAATCTTCCTTTTGAACCTTGCATTCTTGAGATCTGTTTCCATATTGCTTTCCAAACACCAATTTATCAGCATTCCCTGAGACATTACTAGTGCACATTTCATGTCAAAATGAGATTAACGATCAGTAATACAAAGTTGATTCTGTCTGATACTGGATAAATCTGAGTGGATCTGGAGGTGTGGTTCAGAGGGTTAAGCTGCATTTGGGACACCAGCTTCCCATATGGGACTTAAAGTTTTGAATCCTGGCTCTTCAGCTTCTGATTCAGCTCCCTGCTAATGCACCTAGGAGGGCAGAAGACAACCCCAGTGCTTGGACTCCTGCCACCCATGTGGGAGATCTGGAATGGGTCCCTGGCTTGTAGCTTTGGCTTGGCCATTGTGGTCATCCAGGGAATGAATCAGTGGATAAAAAAATCTTTATTATTCTCTCTCTCTCTCTCTCTCTCTCTCTCTCTCTTTTTACACACACACACACACACACACACACACACTTCAAGAAACCATTCCCAAGGCCCGCGCTGTAGCAAAACTGGTAAAGGCACTGCCTGCAGTGCTGGCATCCCACATGGGTGCTGGTTTGAGTCCGGGCTGCCCCACTTCCTATCCAGCTCTATGCTACGACTTGGGAAAGCAGTAGCAGATGACAAAAATCCTTGGGTCCCTACATCCACGTGGGAGACCAGAAGAAACCCTGGATCCTGGCTTTGGACTGGCACAGCTCTGGCCATTGCAGCCCTTTGGGGAATGAACCAGTTTTCTCACTCTCTCTGCCTCTCTGTAACCCCACCTTTCAAATGAATAAATATTTAACAACAACAAAGAAGCCATTCTTCAGGCATGTCCCCACATGTAGCCTCAGACAAGGAATTACAAAAACAGTCACAGACACTTATGCAAACACAAAAACAGGACATATAAAGCTTTGTAAGGGAGAATTGAATCCTAGTACATTAGAAAGTTTATTGTACTTGTAAGAAAAATGCAGATCAAGTAAAAGTCAATATAAAAGCTTTATATTACATATTAATTATATAAAGACTTGGACCAATGGGCAGAGACCTCTGTATCATCCAAAGAGGTGAATATCGAAAGGTTTTCACAATTAAGGTGTTCAGAGATAAAAAGAAAATGCTAACTGCAAAAAGACATAAAACTAGATTTAACCAAAGTAGATTGGAGCTAAATAGGAGACAAATTCAAACCAAAATTACATTTAGGCTTGGATAAAAAATGACAACTCTGCATGTGCATCTGTGCAGTATGACCAAATTTTAAAGCTTAAAATTGTACATGCTGGGGCATATATAAAACTAATCCAGATCAAATTAAATGGGACATTTGGAGGGCTAAAATATTAACTTAAGTCATATACATTGTATTTAAAAACTATGCAAAACCTAAATCATTAATCCTAGAGTTTTAAAAGGGAAATTTCATGAATGAACACTTAGTAGCCTTTATCAAATCAGTGTCTCCTGATAACAGATTCAATTCAAG